ACTTTCATTGTATATATCTGACTTTAGGGAATACGAAATAAAGAATCGAGAAACCACATATGTATTTGACAAAGCCGAATTCACGATTATTTCGCGTAATAAAGTGGTTCGCTATTTTACATTCGGTTTCGGCGTTCACAAAATCGTCAATCGCAAAACCATATCGAAATCATCAATTAACAATCGGGCGCCGAAATTGTCAATTAGAACATATCCGATTATTAATGACTGACATTAACCCATTAAAAACCATAATTATATTATAAAGGATTATTATTATCATTATTATTGTCATTAGTTTGCAAGCTACTTAATATGTAGGAAAATTAGATATTGTAGATTTCAAAGGAGGATTATTTGCCAAAATTCTAATATTACCTATTAACATATTAAAACCTGATATATTTTTTTATCTCCTAATATCTTATGAATGTGATCAAAAAATAAACATCGATGTGGCGTTATTTCAAACGTGAATAGCAAGATGCAGCGAGACCTTATTACAATTTATGGATCGGAAGGCAGGAAGACGATTATTATTAATCGTCCATAATGCGGAAGGCAACTCAATCTGTCTATCAGGAAACAGACGTCGTGGCCGAGACGTCTAACGTCACAGGCAAATCCGAGATCGTGTAATTAACAGGATATACACCCTCTCACCCTCGCCCCGCCCCCTGCATGTCAATCGGTTCCTTCAAAGGGAGGCTGGTCTGATCCTGTTGCTGTCGCTGCCACGAACAGATTTCAGGCTGCTAATGCCACCGAAGACGTTCGTCGAACGCAGCTCGTCCGCTATATCCACAAATCTTGTTTAATAATTCCGAGAAGCTTAGATTGAAATGCTAAAAACTGCACAATTCGCCCGAAAAGTACGTTTAAAATATAAAAAAGACGCCGAATACATTTTTCTCTATCGTAAAAAATAGTATTTTCACCTGAAATAAAATAACGCTTAGTAAAATTATAAACTTGTACAATATAAATAATAAAATAATTATATAATTGTATCGACGCGAATAGAGATTACAAATTACATATATATAAGTATATTATAAAAAAAACACCATCAAGTTTTTTAAACCAGAATTTCTCATATCTCTTCAGACAAACGCTCGAAGGGTGAGAAATTGAGAGCTCAAGGAAAATCCGCCTTATCAGCCTCATCAATGCGAAATAAATGTGGAGGAGGGTCTGTTCCGCGAGTGGTCCATATGCGTGCAAAACGCGCATAAAAATCGTGTAAAAAGTTAAAGTCGGAGGGCAGATATATGTTTATTCGAGTGGTATAGACTTCTTGCACTTCGCTATAAATCAACCCTCAACGGCCATCATCTCTTTGTGATCTGACGACGTTCTCGACGACTCGACTTTCTTCGTCTGCAGTTCTGCGGACGAAGAGGAATCGAATGGACATTCAGAAAGTTCTCTCGTACTATCGATTCGCTACCGGTACGTATTTCTCCGCAAAATTGACGACGATGATTCGAAGACTCGACCCAGGAAAATAGCTACGAGCACGAAAAATAAAAATCCTAAAGAAAGCTACTTCGCTCTACATGTCTTTCTATATTTTCGTGAACTAAAACATTTTCGCCAATTTATTGCTAATAATATATTTCTAATAACGTAATAACAGCAATACATTATTTATGGTATTCCATTATAATATTAAAAAAAAAAAAACTATCTATGCGCGCGCTTGCAATATCTCTTCTGAGACAGACATTCATGGTTTTCCGTCGTAAACAAATTCGTAGGACGAAGAAAAGTCTGTCGTAGGAAGTCAACCGGCATTTCATCGGCAATCTTTTGTATAACTCGGCAAAGTTTCGGACGAGAACTTTCTTCGAGGCGCTAATCGAAGCTCCGGCGTAAACAAACGTTAAAGCACAACAGTCGAAAGACGACTCGAAACAAAGTTCTTTTTGTCCCAGTTATCAACAACAAAATAGTAGCAAAAAGATAAGTTTACTTCCCCAGAAAAAAATGTACGCGCAATTTGAGTAAATTTGTAAGATGATTTGCGCGGAGTTGAATATGGGAAATAAAAGATGTAATATTTCATAATAAAATAATAATACACATGTAAAATGAGTAAGATGCCATTTGAATTAATTATTTTAAATTATATGAATTAATATGCAGAGAGATTATTTTACATAACGACACAATATAAAAAATAGATGTCTCGCGATATCCTTAGATGTGATTAATTTGCAATAATCCGCAAGAATGACCGAATCGCATTTAACAAATCCACGAAGCTCACACACTACAGTCTTACATACATATATACACTCACATTTACACATACACATAGGAATTAAGAATTTTAAAAGAAAAACGGTTTAAAATTATGAATTAGATTCGGATAACGTCAGATCTCGCTATAAAAGCATTGGCCAAATAAGCATAGCTCCTAACGGCCCTTTATATTTTATGCCAATAAAAAAAAAATAATTTGTAATACATGATAAAGATTGTGTACGATGTACATTGCCGATGCAATTACGACAAGAAATTAGAAAGTGGAAGGGCAAACCACAGGCGCAAATGCAAAAAGCGTCACGACGTCTTTCATGTCGCCTTTCGCCGAATAGTTGGAGATTTCGATAGAATGCATTTTAATGCGAAATTTGCATAATCGCTTGAATTCGCGCGCGCATCGCACGTGATGCAGCTGAGTAAAGAAGCCGAACCACCGAAGCTTTCTTCCACCCTCTTCTGCACCCCCTAAAACCCTCTTTCAACCCTCTTTTCCAAGTTATTCTTTCATTCGTTAGAAAAATAGAGGTTCAATCGGTTTATCGGTTCAGAATTGTTAGAAACCGCAAAGTAAGAAATTAGAATTACCAGAATTACAATAGCCAACGTTAAATATTTTCGTTATTCTGATTATTAAAAAACATCGCGAGTGATTGAAATAGTTATACTGACATGTAAAAAGAACTGACATAATGCATTTTATCGACACAAATAAAAATCTTGCAACAATTGTTACGCGTTCTATTTTTCTTCCCTATTTTTATCTTTTTGTACACAACATTTATTTTTGCCATGACTGAGCTAATTGCAAAATGTCTGTTTACCGCCACAAAATTTTAAATCACGATACCTCGATTTAGCGCCCGCAGACACGATTCGCTTGTCAATCGAAAATAGCAACGTCAAGATTTCTAAAATGCTTTTGAAATTGTCACTAATAACGCAATGTCACTCTTCATCCGATCGTAGGAATAAATGATGCAATGACAAAATTCTAATTTTATTACCTAATTCATCATTAAAATAAACACTAAATTCATTACTAAAAAAGGAATAAATTATGCAATGGTAAAATTCTAAATTCATTGCTCAAATACCGACACCATTGTTAAAATATTTAAAAAATCAATTTAAATTGACCTTATAGCGTTCGATATTATTTTTTAAATATAAAATATGAAAACTTATATTTAAAGATAGATTTGATCATTTTAATTAGTTATAATCGCGTTTAATTCATAAAATTATAATTTAATATAGGAAATATCTCTAAATATAAAGCGCGTTTATTTTTGTATTATTTATTTTTATAAAATATTTATTAATATATATTTATATTTATATTAATAAAATATTAATAAAAAGAGG